GGAGCCCCCGGCCAAGGTCGCGCGGAAGAAGGCCTAGCCGCGCGAGGACCAGCCCGCGGCTGCGCTAGCAGGTGGTTAGTAGACGAGCGGTGCGATGAGGGCTGGGCATGCTTGTAAATAGCTGCCGGACGCTTGCCAGCGGATCGGGGGCGATCAGATTGCTCTGAAGACGTTTAAGTCGGCGGGGTCAGGGAGGGGGCGGATGGGGGATGGGGCGAGGAGGACATGGAGGATTGGGCCAGATGGGGGAGGAGGAGGACGATGAGGAGGAGGAGGGCGAGGAGGAGGGCGAGGAGGAGCGGGGGGGTGCTGCATGAGATCGAGGGATTCGTAGATCGCAGCGCGAGCCAGCGCGGCCACGGCGTCGGAGGTGCCACGGCGAGGCGCGTGGTCAAATGTGTGGTCACCCCCGCGGGGCGGGGTAGTGGGGGGAAGGGGGTATTCTAGGGCGGCCGCTCGGCCCGCAGAGGCCGATGTAATTTGTGCGTTTCGGATGTCCGCGCGGGAGGGAGGCTCGATTTCGGGCCCTCGATCGATCGCTCGATTTCGGATCGATTTCGGATCAAGGCCAGCTCGAATTCGGCTCGACTTCGGGTTCGAGTTCGGGTCGATCGTTCTACTTGGCCCTCGATCGATTGCTCGACTTCGGGCCCTCGATCGATTACCCGACGACGGGATCGATGGTCCTCGATCGATCGCTCGATGGAGCGTGCGCGGGCCCAAGCCGGGAGTGTCTCCAGCGACGGCGCGGCGCACCGTGCGGACCGTGCTCAGCAATGTGGCTGCGGTCTTCCAAGAGGGAGGCCGCAGAGGCACAGGGCGGCCAGGGCGCTGGCCAGGTTCTCCCGCCTCGGAAGCTCCAGCGGCGCTTCACGCCGCCTTCGGCCCCGCCCCCGCCTTCGATGTCAGCAGCTGCTTTTGCGAAGGGTGAAACCTTAGTCGATTTTGCGCGGGCGTGCGTCTTCAAGGGCATCGGCGCCCTCGGCCGCCCCATCATGGACCGCGTTGTGAAGGTTCGAAGGGCAACGTAGTGCGGTGGGGGAGGTGAGGTCGGCGGCGTGGGGGTAGGGCTGCAGGAGGAGGAGGAGGAGGCGAAGGGTGGCGCAGGCTGCCTCTCTCTTGCTATTCTCGCTAGGTGGCGCACTTATGCAGTGGGTCCGACATGGTCGGGCCCGCGATTGATTCCATGAGTGATACGTTCAGGGAGGTGGACGTCAACATCCAATTCGACATGATGTGTATATGTGAGATAGATGAGCACAAGTTGAACTGGGGCATGCAAACAACGAGCAAACTAGGATGGACCGAATGTTGTGCTTTTGACAACGTCTGTTCATTCGTCGGAGGGAAGGGGTCTTGCAAGAGGCGCAAACAACAGTGTCCTTTACCAGATGATCTCGACATTCTCGTTTCAGGATTTAGCTGCAAAGATTTCTCTCGGGCAAATGTGAACCGCGCCCCCAATGCGATAGAGTCCTCTTCATCTTCTCCGGGAAAAACGTCTGATACTTTTCATGGGACGTTGGACTTCATTGACCAAACGATGCCAGAGTTTCTTCTTTTGGAGAACGTAGAACTATCAGATCAGGCAGGGCAGTCCGCGGTGGACACAATATTATCGTTGATTGCCGCACGGGGCTATGATGCAAAAGCATATGTGCTCGACTGTTCGGACTATGGTCTCCCGCAATCGCGGGTACGGACGTACTTCTTCGGAGTTTTGAGTCCAGGGAAGCGCATGAAGATCAATAATTACGCCGTGTTCTGGGAGAAGTTTGAGGCTCTGCTCCAGAAGTTCAAGATGCCTTGCCCGGATCTCTTCGACGTGCTGCTCTCCGGGGATCGTTTTGTTGGGGGATTGAAACGCCCCTGCGTTGTGTTACTGGGCTCGTTGTCGTTGTCCCTTCCCCTCGCCCGTCTCCTGGCCCGTCGCCTTCGCCCCTCTCCGTCGCGCCCCCTCACCGTCCTCCCCCTTCACCCTTTATCGAAAGAGACAACCGAGTAGGAATTGTAGTAATAGTGGGAAGAGAAAGAAAAGGAAGATCAGGAGGAGGAGGAGGAGGGTAAGGTTCAGTGAAAGCAATGAAGAGGGATGGGCTGGATGGGGGGTGCGTCGAGAAGAGGGTGGAGGGCGCGGCTCGCCGCCCCTTCCCCCCCTTCCAGGACGACGACTACGTCAGACAAGAACTTGTCCGTCGTAGCACCCGCCAGTCCAAGGGGTGGGACTCCTCCACGATCGAGGCCCACAGGAAGGCGTGGCTCCAGCTCAACAAACGATGGCAGGCCGTGACGCCCTCTCAGGCCGACATTGAGTCACCTTTTTACTCGTCTGTGTGCGCTCGGTCCAGGGACATTTTAGCTTACGCCCAGGCGTCCAAGACGGTGAAAGGTAAGGAAGCCCCGGCGGGAGTAGATATCGGCCAATCCATCGGTAGGATCCCGATTACCACCGAGAAGAACGGCAAGGTGGTATGTCCGACCATCCTGCCTGGATCGATCA